CGGCGGTGGACAAACCTCCCTTTAGTAGACCTCCCCTTAGTGAAAACGGCCTGGGACCGAAACCGACGGACCTGGACCCGCAAAAATGACGGCCGCGACGCCCTCTCGCGAACCGAAAACGGCCAATTCCTTAATCGACGTGTCAGGGTAGGAGGTTTGTCCACCCCCGAAAGAAGTGACATAAACATAAAAACTCGGAGGTCCGCGCGGATTTCTCGGATCGGCGCTGGAGCCCCCCCCTCCCTGGCGCGCGGAGCGCGCCAGGGGCGGCGCCGGAGGCGCCGCCGGGGGGCCCCAGCGCCGATCCGAGACATCCGCGCGGACCTCCGAGTTTCTATACGTATGTTTATGCCACTTGTTGTTCCCCTAGGGTGGCCCAGTTGGTGCGCCCGTGGGCGTCAGGAGGCCTCCGGGGGGCCTCTGCCAGCACGGGGGGTGGATCGGCTTCGCCCGCGGCCGGCTAGCTTTGAGCTTTGCCTGCGGTCGGTTCCGTCGGCGCCGCCCCGGTCGGTCTCGTCCGCGGGCGGCCTCGCTCTGGTCGGGCTCGCCCCAGTCTGGGGCTGCGGTCGGCTGGCGGCCAGCGGCCCGAAGGCGATCGAGCTGGGGCGGCTCCGACCCCAGACCTCCTCGCGTCGAGGAAAGTCCGCCGCCGTGCCTCCTGGCACTCTGAGGCGTGGAAGAAGGCCAAGGGCTGTCTGCCAGGGTTTTTTCTTCTGAGCTCCCCTCCCATCTCGCCGCAGGCTTCTGCATGCACCGCCCCCCCCTCCCGAAGCCACTACAGGATTCGGCCTGACCTAAGGAACGATACAGAAGGAACGAGGCCCCTTTTTTGTCCAAGTAAGTCTGGGGTGTCCGAAGGAACAGAAGGGGGGCTCGCCGCCAAAAAGGTAGCGGAACGCATGCAAACCAAAGAAACGACCCAACCCCTTTTGAAAAGTGAATGTTCCTTATTCAAGCCGGACCCTGTATCCCTCGTCGCAAAAATGGATCCGCGCTCCCGAGGTCACGATCCCTCGCAAGAAGGCGTGGCTCCGAGCCACGATGCCGACTCCCCGTCGCAAAAAACAACGACGGATCCGCGCTCCCGAGCTTCCAGGGGCCGAGACAGGCAGCCAAGGCCGCCAAGATGGTCCAAGACATAGTCAACCCGTGTCATAAGGATGCGCGGTAAGGATGCAAGGGCCTTGGAGTGCCACGTTCACGTTTTTCGAACAAGGCTGGCCAGCCAAAGCGGCCAAGAATGGACCGAGGAGGCAAGGATGCAAGCGCACCCTTGGGAAGGTTGCCCATCCATACTATGCGGGTTGCCTGTACCTCTCAGACGATCCCAAACTGGCCGCAAGAGGACGCAGAGACGGCCGTGGAGGCGCCCAAAGGCGGCTCATTCTCAAGCTTTACATGGCTCAGGTCCACTGGTTCCTTGGGTGAACCTCTGGGATTGATGACAACTCTGAGTGGGTCATTTTCGGTCAGCGTACCAGGAGGCCCCACCCAAGGACACCGAGTAAGCCAACACCAGCGATTTTTCGACGGATTAAAACATTTTTGCGTCTCCACCCGGTTGTTCGACGATTTCTCTGCGGGCTCCTTGGAGCTCTGGAGCAGGCCCTGGGGGCCTCCAAGCTGGCCCCCAAGACGGCCTCGCAGTGGCCCAGTCATCCTCCAAGGCGGCTTCGAGACATCCCGAGAAAGGCCCCCGGGCAGCCACGAGACAGCCACAAGAGAGCCCCACGCTGTCACAAGAGGGCCTCGGGCGGGGCCCGATTCAGCCTCAGAGAGCCCTTCGAGGCCAAGACGGCGCAGAGAGGACCAGGGGGCCCGCACCACTGCCCCAGAGGAACCCCAGTGAGGACGGACGACCCCGAAAACGAGAAGAGATCCCCCGTCACGACGCGGAAGAGTGCCACATGACATGTTCCACTCCCCCGAGCCCTGATACACGAGGTGTCACGCGTCACGGCCTCCGGTGCGCCCACTGAGCAGGCGCCACCCAAGGTGCTGGGCTGGCACGGTGGCAGGACTTGCCGCAGGCAACTGGATGGCGGCTGAGAGTCTTTTGGCAATCTTCGGCATCTCGGGGCCCGTGCCTGGGACTGTACGAGTTCAATATCAAGTCGTCTCGGGATGGAACAGCTGGCTCTGGGGAATGCGTCGAGGCCCTTGGGGACTTCATTACGCCATGAACCAAAGTCATGACGCCAGAAGTCTGAGACTTGGCCTTCGGCTGCGGTTCCGACCGCGGAGTGGGGGGAACGACGAGGGGGGAAGAGCTCAGGTGGGTAAACACCCAGCTTGAATCGGCGATGCATCGCCGACTGATCGGCACGATGGGCCTTCGATAGCGGGTGCGAAGGCTCGGGTCATCGGGCCTCTGTAGGTGATGTTTGGGCGACTGGGGGTCGAAGCGTTACCCCCTGAACCTAGATTTGAGCAGGGACCGACCGTCCTGGCATTCCTATAGCCCTACCACAACATGTTCTTAGAACCCAGAACTGTTCTCAGAACGAATACAATGTTCTTAGAACATTCACCCGACGTGTTAAAGCAGGACAGTCTCAACCAGAAATGTTCTAAGAACTTTTCGTGGAAACCAAACAAGGTTCTTAGAACATTGTTTGGTAGGGCTATAGGCGAGCCAGGACGCTTCGCCACTGCTTGATAGATCCCTCCCCCCGCGTTGCCCCTGAAGGTGGAGCCGGCCAATTCCAACTGCGCCTGCGCAGGGCACGGCGGCGGGCAGCCGACTGCGGCATAGTCGTGGCCGTGGCCGAACCGAGTCGCGGCCCTAAAGGCAACCACACATGAAGCCTCAGTACCCCTGCAGGCCAGACTCCTGACAAAACTGGCCGGGGCTCAGAATTCAGTGGACGTCTGCAGCCGCACGAGCCTGTACAGTGCGGGCGCGGCCGCAAGAAACCCTCGCAAGAAACCCAACCCTGAGAACCCTCGCGCGAGGTGCACCGGAGGAGAAACCTGGACCACCCTGAACGCAGCAGCTCCCTCAACGGCCGCGGGAAGTCGCTACGCCGCGCGCGGAGCGAAGAAACCCAGGACACCCTGACGAAAAAAGCAGATGGTTTCTTGATGCGCGCCCCAACTGTAGCGCTCCCCGGCGCTGCGGGCGCGCCCTCTCCCTCCTCTCCCCTCCTCTTCCCTCCTCTTCCCTCCTCTTCCCTCCCTTTCCTCCTCCTCCTCCTCCTCCTCATCCTCCAGCGTCGATCTGCCCCGCAGGAGTTGGGCTGGGGCGTGGCCGCAGAGGTCACACCGCTCGGGCGCGGGCGGAGCTCTGACAGGCGCCGCCGCGTACTGGGAGGCAGGGCCACAGGAGGGGTCCTGCGGCCTGCTCTGTCTCGGTGCACTTGGCCCCTGGACATCCCCAGGGGCCAAGGGCATCGAAACAGATCATCCGTCCCCAGGGGCCAGGTGCATCGAAACAGGTCAGGCAAGTGTTTCGATCGAAACAGATCAGGGGCCAAGTCCATCCCCCAGGGCCCCTGGACGTCTCGATGCACTTTTTGGACGCCCGAGATGGGTACGGCAAAAATGTGTACAATGGCCAACAGCAAATTTGTCCCAAACCAACAGCCAGCAGCCGCTGTTGGGCAGGCGGCCTTCTGTCTCGAATGGACACAGGCCGCGGCGGCGTGCACAGCGAGTCCTGCTCAAAATGAGCTGGAACTGCTGTTGGGCATTGTACCCATTCTTTCCGTACCCATTTCGGGCGTCCAGATGGGGGGAGAAGGAGGACAAGGAGGAGGAGGAGGAGAAGAAGGAGGAGGAGGAGGGGAACGAGGAGGAGGAGGAGAACGAGGAGGAGGAGGAGGAGGAGGAGGAAGAGGAGGAGGAGGAGGAGGAGGGAGGAGGAGGAGGAGGACGAAGAGGACGGGTCGCCTAGGCCCTTCGGAGAACCCCCCCAATTGTACCCATTCTTGCCGTACCCATCTCGTTCGTGCCGACCCTTGGCCCCCGGACGTCTCGACCCATCCCCGGGGCCGGCTCGGCTCCTCCAGGCTGAATTTTTCGACGGCCCTGCGGCCGCCGGCCAGCCCGCCGAACCCCCAACCGGGGGCAAACTGGCCGTCACCTCGCTTCCGTTTGAGGCGCACGATTTAGGTCGGGCGTGTCCTCCTACAGGCGTGTTTTGGACGAAGAATGAGACATACTCAACAACTATTCCAAGATGACCAGCAATAGTCAAATAATCGTCCCCAGAGCATTTTCTGACAATTTTTAACTTGTACTCCTGCAGAGGTACATGTCCGACTTAACGCGAGATGCCTGGGCATGGGGGCTAAACTTTCGGACCCATGCGCTGCGCCGTAGGTTTCCCCAGAGACCCTGCAATCCACCAGATGGTCTGTTACCTCAGTGCGTGTATGTGTGTGTGTGTGTGTGTGTGTGTGCGTGTGTGGTTTTGTATGATTTTTCAATCATCCAATTGCCTCTCGACTTCTCACCCCGCACGCCTCTGCCCGTCCATGAGAATCCCCCTGGGGCCGTTGTTTCATCTTCGTGCGCCGACCTCAACGCAAATTGGCAATTCACTTCGACACAACTTTTCGCGACTGTAGTGCCACATTTCCGTGACACTTTTAGCGTGTACTTCTTCTTGACTTTCAGCACGTACTGGTGTGAGTGGGTCCGCCAATCTCGATGTATACGCTAAAACGCCTACTCAGTTTGCACGCCTGCAGGAACAACAACATGTGTTCGGTGACAACCGACGCCGCCACCCACCGTGCTGTGAGCAACGCCCCATTCTCCTTTTTCTGCGCGTGCACCCCGAACACACGGCCACTATGTCGTCGGGGTAGACCCTGGGCGCTATCCCGCCGCCGCCGCCGTCGCTAGCGGTGTCGCCCCCGCCGCTGCCGCCGTCACCGACAGTGGCGTCGTCGCCACCGCCGCCAGCGACGCCATCGCCAACTGTGGCGGCGCTGGCGGTCGCCTGGAAGACGCGGCGGCCGCCAGTTCCGGCGGGTGACCAGCCAAGCCAGCGCCCCAGCCTTCTGATGTCTTGATCTTTTCAATTCGGGGTCCCCCGAGCTCTGGACCACTTCCCGGGGACTGGTCGTTTCGGACTGCATTTCTGACGGTCCTGGGGCCCGGCGAGGGCCCCCAGATGCCGAAAACCACAAAAGAGCCTCCGCCCTTTTTCGGGACGTTACCTGCTATCCAACGTTGCGAAGCACCGCAACAGAGCCCTGGACCTCACCTCTCTGCGCCATGTTTCGAACCGCATCGATCCGTGAGGGTCCTGGGGCCCGAAAAGGGCGACAGCGTCCAGCGTGAGCACTTGAAACTCCCAGCTGGCTGCGCGGTCGCGCCACCGGCTGCCGGTCGCCGCCGCTCATCGGCGGCCCGTGGTCGGCTGGCGGCGGCGGCGTGCGCGGCGAGCGCGCCTGGAGGGGTCGGCTGAGTGCTGCAGGCCCTCGGCGCCGCCCACGGTCCATGCGCGCTGGCGCTGGGGCGGCGCGCTCGCCTCGGCGGCGTCGTCCGCGCCTGGAGGGCGGACGTCGTCGTCGCCGTCGTCGGCGGGGCTCGGCGTCGTCGGCGTAGGCGTCTGCAGCGTCGGCGTCGCCGTCATCCTCCGCCCTCGATGTCCTTCGCCCTCATCCCTCCGTCATCCCTCCGTCATCCTTCCTCCTCCTCCTCCTCCTCCTCCTCCGCCTCCTCCTCCTCCTCCTCCTCCTCCTCCTCCTCCTCCCGTGGCAGGAGGGCTCCCGATCCTCGTGCCGCCGCTGCTCGGAGAGTCGCGGGGGCTCCTGGCAGGAGTCCATTGGACGGGTGGTCGTCGGCGCACCAGGAGGAGGAGGAGGAGGAGGAGGAGGAGGAGGAGGAGGAGGAGGAGGAGGAGGAGGAGGAGGAGGCGGAGGTGTCCGCGAATGCTTCTCCCGTGCCACCTGGCACCAGGGCCGCGCGGACAGAGCGCTCCACCAGAGGCGTGCGGCCCACGCCCACTGCCGGATTCCCATGCTTTTTCTGCCCGAGATGCGGCTGCAGCTCGGCTCGGGAGAACGGCATCTTCCGTGGCCTGGCGGAAATTGTGTCGTTCGCCATCCAAGGCGGGCCTCAATCATTCGCAGCTGCTCGACCGTGGACTGCGGCCAGGGCGCGCCGACAGTGCGGCGACAGGTTTTCAGAATATGGTCCCTCAGCCGTCGAGCGGCCGAAGGAAGGCTGGGGCCCCGTATCCTGACCCGAGGACACTGGCCGCACACGGGGGACAACACATTCTTGTTTCCCTCCTCGTCGTCGTCATCCTCCCCCACCTCCTCTCATCTCCTCGTCTTCCCTCACCCGCGCCTCCCAAGTGGAGAAAGAGGAGGGAGTAAGGCAGGAGGAACAAGCACGAGGACAATGGAGGCTCCCCTCTCCTCGTTCCACTGGAGGGAGGAGTAGGCGGAGGAGAAGGGGGAGGAGGATCCCACGAGGAGTGAACGGGGAAGGAGGGACAGACAAGACAAGAACCGATGAGAGCCAAAATTCCTCAAGTCTGTCTTGGAAAACACTTTGGTCTCGAATGCGTATGGGTATCCCTACCATCGTCGGGCGTTGGCAGAACTGGGTTTAGTGGGACCTGGTTTACTGATGTGTACTGGGAGACGCCCCCCCCGCCCCGTTCCACTAACCAGAACTGCTGTCACCCGAAAAAACACCAGCTACGGCAGACCTGGCGTAGTGATTCTGGCCAATTTAGGGGCTCCGGGGCCCTACAACTGACCAGGTCCCCTTACCCGGGGTCTCGGCTATACCCTACCATCGGCTACCGCTGGAACGACAGCCTCCTCTTGTCGACAGACGACCAGGAGGAGGGGGGGAGAGAGCAATCGTGGATGGACAGAACTCCCTTTAGTAGAACGTGGTTTAGTGTAAACGACCTCAGGCCAAAACCTGGCGTGCGCGAGCCTGGAAAATGACGGCCGCGGCGCCCTCTCGAGAACCGAAAACGGACAATTCACTAATCGACGTGTCAGGTTGGGGGTTCTGTCCATCCCCGAAGCAAGGAGGGGAGAATATTGGGCCCATCGAGCTGGGATCCATCCGGCGCGGTTCTCGCCTGCAGGCGGCGGTCCCCCCTCCTGCCGGCGCACGCCCTGCGGGTTTTCGAACCCCCGAAAGGCCGCCCCCAACCCGCGACGTCTTGACCAGGGACTGGCCGTCCCCGCGCTCCTATATGCCAAGTTGCAACGACATGCTATCAAGGCAAAATCCTGGTCTCACATCGGCAGCAGTATTATTATTGCAGAACACTTACGGGTTGAAGAACGACTGTCCCAACCACTTCTACATTTCGTGATAATCGCAACCGGATATTGCAACAATCTTTGGTAGGCCTATCAGAATACCAAGACGCTTCGCCACTGCTTGAACGCCGTGTTTGTTTCGTATGGGGGCTCCCAGAGGCCTGGAACCCTTCCCTGGGGCCGCCTCTTCACTCTGATTCGTCTTTGACAGTCCTGGGGCCCGGCGAAAACACAAACAAACAAAAAGAGGTAATATGGCGAAACGATGATGATTGCGTGAAGCCGCGAGCGTGGCTCCGGAGGAGGAGGAAGAGGAGGAGGAAGAGGGAGAAGAGGAGGAGGAGGAGGAGGAGGAGGAGGAGGAGGAGGAGGAGGAGGAGGAGGAGGAGGAGGAGGAAGGAGGAGGAGGAGGAGGAGGAGGAGGAGGAGGAGGAGGAGGAGGAGGAGGAGGGGAGGAGGAGGAGGAGGAGGAGGAGGAGGAGGAGGAGGAGGAGGAGGAGGAGGAGGAGGAGGAGGAGGAGGAGGAGGAGGAGGGAGGAGGAGGAGGAGGAGGAGGGGAGGAGGAGAGAGGAGGAGGAGGAGGAGGAGGAGGAGGAGGAGGAGGAGGAGGGGGAGAAATACGAGGAGGATGATCAGGAGGAGAGAAGCAGGAGGGGGAGGATGAGGAGGAGCAGGAGGAGAAGGAGGAGGAGCAGGAGGAGGAGGAGGATCATCATGATAGGCGTAAAAACAACAATCACCGCATGGCGATTCCATGTGACAACGCAATGGCCCCCTTGGTCGCGAGGAGAAATCGTCGAACCGGAAGATGAAGAACGCGCCAAGAACTTGAGGCCCACAGAGCTCGACCACGAAACCCGAGCTGTACGCAAATCGCGACATGAACCAAAGTCGCCAATACCACGGAGCAGTGCCTCATTGCACACGAAGAATAGCAAAAGGCTCAACAAAGACGAAGTCAAACATGGTCCACAACAGTGATGAAAGCACCGGTGGTCGTCGGGCACCTTCGTGCTCCGTCAAGCCAACCAGCGTTGCACTACCCCAAACTGATACCATCTCCTCCACGAGCTGTCTCGCCAATTGCCAACTACATGCGCACATTCGTGCTTCCGTGCCTGTCATACAGGACATACCGTGACACTACTCATGCTACACAATAGCAGCACAACACGAACAGGTGCTGTATCCCATGCCGCGTGTTGTGCCCGATTCGTGTTTGGGCCGCGTTTGTTCGTGCCCATGTTCCTCTATGCGTGTACGGTCTCGGCATCCTTGCCAGTAGGTCCCAACAAAAGAGGGCCCGTCTCGCGGCTTTGTGCTCCAGCATCTGGTGGTGAAGTTGCCGTCGCGGTGAACTTCCTTTTTTCACGGATGTTCTGCCAGTGGTGGAAAATCCTGTAGCCGCAGTTGACCACTTGCAGGTGGACGAACTTGTGCACCCAAAAATTTGTTGTAGGCGTGGTGCGCGCACAGCCCACCGCGGCCGCGCGCGGAAGCAAGCTCCCGCATGGGGACCCTGCGCAGCGGCGCGGGGGCCCGGGGCCACTGGCCTTTCGGGCCATGATGCTCGCCCTCCTCGTCCTCCTCCTCCTCCTCCGCGTGCTCCTCCTTCTCCCTCCTCCCTCTTCCCCCCCTCCCCTCTTCCTCCTCCTCTGACTCCTTATCCATCCTTCCCCTCTTGGGGTACGACGGCTTCCCCAACCCGCTATTCCACTGCATGCTCCTCCACATCCCTGACCAAGGCAACTCGCCTGGGCATCGTTTCTGCATGGGTTGGCGGGTTTCTTTTTTTGGTCAGCGGCCACGGGCGAGCGCGCCGGCGGCGAGTCAGGTCAAAGCGGGCTACGCAGAGACTAATTAGGCAGAGGAAGCGCGAGATAATTAAAGCAGAAACGACGCGTGAAGCAACAACTACGCGCCGGCCGAGGCCTCACGCAGCGGCCCAACGGCAGGTGGGTGGCTGAAGGGACAGAGACTGAGGGGAACTGCCAGCGTGCAAAGCTGCACGTCCGTCGGAGGCGCCAACAGGGTGGGCGGGGTTACGCGATTCGTCTAAATTTCCCATCCCTTCGGCCAATTGACCCACCCCGGTCGCAACTTGTGGAACTCCTGCGGTGAATGGGGTTCGCTGGTCACGGCGAAACTCGCCGCAGGCATTCAAAGGCCAATCATTGGCGCATGACAAAATTGGACCTCCCGCGGGCTATTGCCAGCGAGCTGCTTCGAGTTGCCTGGGCCGACCTCAGTATTCAGGTTAGGGGCGGGTCACACGTCAGAGGCCGAGAAGATGCGCTTTGCTGTCCGCGCCAGGTGGCGCAACATTTCGTCGATGTACCGGCCGGGCATTTCCTGCATCTGTTTGGTTCGAGCTGGTGCCCGCGGAACCGTGGACTACACTGAACTCTTCTGTGCTCCGCTCTTCCGAGGCCTCCCCGCGGGCGGTGTCCGGGGCAGCGCCCCAGGCCAAATCGCCCCGGGCGGCGCTGCCCCGTCGCAAAAGGGGGGCGCGGCCCCGAACACTATGGCAACCAAGTTGGCAAACATTATGGCGAACACTACAGCCAAAACGTATATTAAGGACGGGTGATAAGGACGCAAGACGTTTGGAGGCCGAAGTTGGGTCTTTTAGGGCGGCGGGCGACCAGTGATAATGGCAAGGACGGGCCTCAGAGACAAGGACACAGGGGTACCCTAGATGAAGGCGCGCGTCCTTACTAGGCGCGTTGACTGTATGATAGGGGAAGACAAGAACACATAGACATAAACTTTCGACGGTCCGCGCGGATTTCTTGGATTTGCGCCGGGCCCCCCTCTCTGGCGCGCGGAGCGCGCCAAGGGCGGCGCAGGAGGCGCCGCCAGGGGGCCCCAGCGCGGATCCGAGAAATCCGCGCGGAGCGCCGAAAGTTGGTATTTATGCTTTTTTCTTCTTCGATCTGACCAACATGATGCAACAAATTTCCTGCGGCGCTGGCTGGGCCGAATTCCCAAATCGTGCAAAGTTACCGTGCTGTCTGAAACAAACACTTACGTACTGTTGGTACGACTTTCGGACCAAAACCCGCGCGGATCGCCGGGGCGGGTTGTCCGCGTCGCTTTCGGCGGCGCGCCTTCTTAAAAAAAACCGCACCCGTGCGGTGAAGCCCATGCTGGATTTTTACGTTGCTTTCTTTCCCCCAGCGAGAAGACGCATGTGCGGACGCCATGAGCTGACGAGTAGCCCTCAATGGCCACTCAATGGCGACTTGTATTTTCACAAGTGGCCCTCGTTCTGTCCATTATTGAAAAGATGCTCTACCTAAACAACTGCTTCAGGATCCAAGGAGCATGAGGCCACTTGTAAAATTACATGTGGCCGTTGGGTGGCCATTGAGAGGCAATTGAATGGCCATTCTGGGCCACTTGTCAATCCGTAAGAAGTCCGCGCGCGCGTGGCATTGGAAAGCGATAGCATCGCTGGGGACGGCGCGTTGTGGTGTACGCGTGCGCCGTGGACACGCGGCTGCTGCCGTGCACGCAAGCACTGTGACGCAGGCAGGCGTAGTGGTGCAGACCAGAGGCTCCTCTTGCAGCAGGCGGTGTGCAACGGCATTGTGGTGCCCCCACTCGTGGTCGTGTGCGCAGACTGTGTGGTGGATGCAAGCGTGGTGGTGTACAAAGGCTGTGCGGTGTCCATAAGCTGTGTGGAGTTCACGTGCTTTGGGATCTACGAAAACATAATGGCGCGCAATGGAAACGCTGCGCGCAAGCAGTCGCGCACCGTCGATCGACAAAATGTTGCGCACGTTTCGCAGCGCTTTGGCATTTCACTTCAACGGGCATCCCCCGTCCCCTTGGGCCGAACATTATTGGCACCAAGATGACAACCATCATGGCGAGCCCTAGCAGAGACATTCTGGCAAGCATTAGGACCTTCATAGCCATCCTGCGGCGCTCGCTGGGCAACCTCCTCAAATCTTACCAAGACAGGCATTTAGGTACTGGTTGTACGACTTGCGGGCCACACCCATGCGGATCGCAGTGGCGGGCTGCCCGTGTGGCTCTCGGCGGTGTACTTCCCCAAACGAAGGCGCAGCAGTGCGGCGAAACCCATATTGTTTTTTTTTCACATTGCGTTCTTTTCCCCAACGTGGAACACGCATGCGCAGAACCCATGAACTGACGAGTTGCCCTTAATGGCCAATGAATGGCTAATTGCAATTTCACCAATGGCCCTTGTTCTGTCCGATGTGATCAAAGACGATCTACCTATACAACTGCTTCAGAATCTGGGGAATGTGGGAGCCACTTGTGAAGCTACATGCGCACGTTGAATGGCAATTGGCGGCCACTCGTCAATTCATAAGAAGTCCGCGCGCGTGGCATTGGAAAACGATCGCATCGCTGTGGGCGGCGCATTGTGGTGTACTCCTGCGTTGTTGTGCGCGCAGCTGCTGTCGTGCTCGCAAGCGCTGTTACGCCCGCAGGCGTAGTTGTGCAAACAGAGGCTCCTCTTGCAGCTGGTGGTGTACAGCGGCATTGTGTTGTGCCCATCCGTCGCGACACGGCGTCGCAGGAGGCCCCCAAGATCGCCCCAAGACGGCCCGAGAAGCTTCAGAGAGGGCCTCAAGACGAAAAGGAAGTACTCGCAAATAGCCTTGATCCGCCGCGGCGATATACGATACATGGCATCGAGGAACACCTTTTTGTTGTCTGACGTTCACGAGTAGGCACTTTGCGAATAGTGGAACGCGCCTGGTGAAAAGGGGGTGGAACACAAACCGGCATTTCAAGCTCATCGCTCAAAATGCCCCCCCGAGGGCGCGAGCTGGCCCCCAAGCCCCCCGACAGAGCCCGGGGCCCACAAGATGCCCCCCAGAGCCCTCCAAGGGATTCCCCGAAAGGTACCCCGAGGGACCCTTAAGTGCATCCAAAAGACCCGTGGTCAACGGAACCGGCACGGTGCCCGGACGGGCCGACAAGGGCGAAATGTAGGTAGGTTGGTCGGGCCGCGAGACGCGGGTTTGCCCCGAGGGCCGAACCGCCGCGCGCGGGCGCGGGGGCTCCCTACGCGAGCGCCTCCGGGGATGTCGCGCCCTCCGAAGAGGATCGATGGCGAAGTACATGTAGGTCGGGAGATCGACGCCGAAAAGGGCGGCGGAGGACAGTCAGAGCGGGAGGGCTCTTCAAAACCAGCGGCCAGAAACTTGAACATCCGTCGCATCTGCGCGGACGCAGGGCGGTAATCTGGCGCCCTCGCTCGAGACTTCATCACGCCTGGCAGCCAGAACTCGCCATCGCTCGGACGTCCATTCCCTGTGTTCTTTTCGGTTTCGTGCGTGTTTTTTTCGCCAAATGGTCAAGGATGCCCCTCGATGGCCCTCGCCGAAGGAACAATGCACACGTCCGAGCGATGCCAAGAGAAGCTCAAGGGAACAAAAACCCTTCTCACAGCGGGGACCTCCCTGGACACCTCGCTGAGGTTCATGTGCCTGCTGCTTCGTGTTCCGTGTACTCCAGATTTCGTAATAAAAGGGAGGGGGTCTCAACCCTCCCAGACGAGAAGTTTTAGACCCCCCCCCGTGGGAGAACCCTCCAAAACATAATCTCCAGACCCCCCCAGGCCCTCCAAGATAGCCTGGAAGAGACGCCCCCCGAAATGAGACCCCCCTCCCTTTATTACGAAATCTGGAGCACTTCGCCAGAAGGATGCAGGGCGGGTCCTTTTCAGCATGGGGCCCTCGCCAGAGTGGCAGGCCCGTGCCGTGCTCGCGGGGGCGCGCTCTGCGTACTGAACTAGAAGCCTCACGCGCACTCACGAGGGGACTTGAGCCAGAAGGGTGCGCTGCAGCACCAGTGACGCCTCCTGGGTCTCCTTTGGTCCCTCCTCCTCCTCCTGCTCGCCCCCCTACTCCCCCCCTCCTCCTCCTCCCCTCTCCTCCCACTCCCCCCCTCCTCTTCCCCTCCTCCTCCTCCCACTCCCCCGTCCCCGCCCCGCTCCTCCCCCGACTGACGACGGCGGCGACGACGGCGGACGCGGACGCCAGCCAAGGCCACGGCACCAAGCACAAACCACGACGTCGACGACGAAGGCGCTGCCAGCGACAACGACGACACCGCCGACGCCGCTGGCGCCGTCGACGACGACGGCCCGCGGCGCCGCAGCCGCCGCGGCCAGAGTCTGGCCGCTGGCTCCGCGCCGAGGTTGGCGAGTCGCACTGCGACGGGGGCGTGGTGGACCATGCCGCCTCTCTCGGGGAGGGGTGAGGGGCATGATGATGGGGCGAGGCGGCGACATGTTCACTGCAATCGTCGAGGTTCGACCTTCGTCGTGGTCCAGGCTCGAAGACTGACCGAAGTTCGAGACTTGATTGCTCTGGGCGTTTGGGGAACATGTATCGAGCACCCGAAGCCTTTGGGGACCGCTGGAGGAGATCGCCGCCGCCGCCGTCGGACCAAGACGGACTCCCTGACCCCTCCCGTGGCCCTGAATGATGGGGGGTGGCTGGCTCATGGAAGGGAACATCGACCTGGAATCGGCCATGCATCGCCGATCAAGCGGCAACCGGCCCCCGAGAACGGAACCACGCTTTCCTGGGCGGGGTGGCCCATGGGGCCCCTATCGGCGATCAGTGGGCGATTGGGGGTCGATGCGTCCTACCCTGAGCAGATCCCCCGCTGACGTTGCCCCTTTGGGGAAGGGCTGACTCCGCGCTTTCCTGGGCGGGGTGGCCCATGGGGCCCCTATCGGCGATCAATGGGCGATTGGGGGGGTCGATGCGTCCTACCCTGAGCAAATCCCCCCCTGACGTTGCCCCTGCGGGGAAGGCTGACTTCGCGACCAGCCGGCTACCTGCAGGAGTGGCCCCTGGCAAGAAGGACCCTTCGTGCGCGGGTTGCCGACCGCTGGGTGCGATGTTGTTGCTGTTGCTATTGTTGTTATTATTCTTATGATAAGTATTTCTCGCAGTCTTATTAGTATTACTACTATTATTATTATTATTGTTGCTATTATTGTGATTATTTGCATTAGTATTATTACTATTCTTATCATTATCATTATTATTATTCGTATTAGTATTATCATTATTATCATTATGATTCGTTCTTTTGCCTGCCTGCTCCTTCCTCCTCCCCCTCAGGAATCGGCCCTCGAATCTGTCCTGGGGCTCCGCGGCGACGAGGCCCCCCCTCCCGTGGATGCCGAGAAGGAGGCCAGGACCATTGGAGCTGATCAGTTTTTGATATCCACTTCGCGCCCGACACAGGCGGGCTCGCCCGGACCTGCTCCCAAGCCTCCCGACCCGCAGCCCGCTCTGAGCTCAGCATGCCCTTGAGGATGTCGAGGACGATCTCCCGAGCCTAGGAAGGCACCAACTATACACCAACACCGATCCTGGCCAGGATCACCCTGGGCCAGGATCGGTGTTGGTGTATAGTTGGTGCCTTCCGACCCGAGCAGTCGCTCCAGTCAGAAGGAGCGTCAAGCTCCCTTCCCCTCTCTGCCCCTCGCCATGGTCTACGTCTCCGCGCCAATTTCGAGGAGGGAGAGGGAAACACGGGGCCGTCGATGTCGTCATCGTCGTTGCCCTCGTCCTCGTCCTCGCCCTCGTCGTCGTCGTCGTCGTCGTCGTCGTCGTCGTCGTCGTCACCGTCGTTGTCGTCGTCGACACCTTTGTCGTCGTCGTGGCCAGCGTCGTGGCCGTCGTGGCCGTCGTCGTCGTCGTCGTCGTTGCCGTCGTCGTCTTCGTCGTTGCCGTCGTCGTCGTCGTCA